CATACATAGTAAAAATATTGGGGGGGGGGGGGATGATACAATGGACCATCCCCCTTGTCAAATATTAGGGGGGATATATATGATTAGATTAGACACACAAACACAACAGATTAAACAATATACACTGGCTTTCATTTGATCATAAATATTATTTATTCAATCTTTAATGATGTAAACCTGGACATTCATGCCAACTTTAAATGGATATGTGCTGTTTCTTATGAAGGTAGTTTAAAGTTCAAAGTTCCTGCTCATGTTACATTTGCAATGTTTAGTTTAAAATTCTAGCCACTCGCTCATGTAAACGCAGTTTGAAGGTGAAATTATAGCCCCTTCGTTACATTGATCAAACACAGGGCACACACCACATGGCACACGCATGATTCCTGCTGGCTCTATTAACATCTCAACTGACCGATACAACTTTACCTCCCCTGAATCAACTGACCCTCCCTGTCCCGCCATTAAGGTCATTTCAATCCTTCCATCATAGATAAGGGTGTTCAAAATTGTTTCTATGTCTTCTACAGAAAGTTCTACTTTACTGATGCCCAACTCTGAGATGTACTTCCAAACTTCTTTTGAGGATGAGAACGATTTCATACGAACAGACAATGGTTCAAGCTTCATCTTCTTTGCGAGTTCATTCTTCTGTTGCAAAAACTTTAAGCATTGTTGATTCAGTACATCCACAAATTCTGCCTCGAAATCCTGGTCACTGTACCAGGCCCCACCGGTGACAGAGCGATCGGGTTGTACATTGTAAAGCATATACACTTTTTTCTTTGAAGCACCGACTGATTTAACCGCCTTGATTAGTTTTCTTGTTTCTAAACTTTTCAAGATTTTGTTTACTTGAGTTTGAAGGATGTTACTCCTGTACCTTATATCTCGTATCCAGATCCCCTTATTTCCAGATTCTTCAATTATTTGATACACTAGTTTTTCTTGATTATCTGCTCCTTTAATTTTAGCAGACGATGTCGGATCTTTAGCCCGGTACATTAACTCGGTACTCGTCTTGACCAGATCGATTTTGCCGGTCGAAAGCAGTCGGTTGATAGCCGACACGCGCTGCTGAACGCCGATATCAGGAAGGTTCTTCTGGATAACAGAATCGGCTACACCGTTCGCGTTTTGTTTACAAAGTTCCATTATTCGAACTTCAAGTTCCATGACATCGGTAGGTTCCTGCTTTATCGATGTGCTGGAAGAAGCCATTTTAATTGTTCTTATAGCACTTGTTTAGCGAAAAAGTCTACGATCACCACAGCCACTCAGCTAGCCGATCACGATCAGGCCGCTAGCAGCACAAAATTGTTTACTCGTGTGATGTCAAAGTTCAACAACAGCAGAGAGGGCGCTAGACACAAAATCCGAAACTTCAGATTACAGTTGAAAGTTTGTAGAACATTTTAATAAGTATAAACATGGAAAAACTGATACAGTAATACAGCATCTAATTAAGACACATCTGCCTAAAAAATTACAATATAAAAATATAAAATACGTCGAAAGGAACATAGTATATTTAAAACATGTTTATAGAAACAAACGCAAAAGGCAATTTATTCTTGTTGAGAATCCCGATATTTAGCGTTTCAATTATAGAGTCGTGGTACTGTATGATTGAATACAAATAATTTCGGTCGCGTTTCGTTGAAAGAGGTATAAAATAAACGTCAACACAAAACCATTACCGAAGCCACATTATACATTATAAGGTAATTATCATCTTCATTTTTAAATTGGAATCTATGTACGGCTCTTAAGCTAATATACATTTATCGGGATATAGAGTTATAGAGTCTGAGATCTGTTCAACTTTATGACGGTCTGAATAGTATTTATAAAAATACTATAAAAATTAATTTTGCGAATAAACAATAAAATATACTGTAGTCTAATGTAGTGGCGTATCTAGAAATCGTGAAATGGGGGCTAATAGGGAGAGCAAACGAAGGTCACGTGGAGGCGATGATTAGATGAGAGGATGCTAGCTCGCAAAATAAAGTAGGCCTAATAATATAGGTACGTGATTTTTAACTACTTAAGTGTGATTTCTGGGACACTGGGGGACGAGTATATTTTGGAGGGGTGTGCGCCCACTCCCCCACACGCACCACTCGATACGCTCGTCTATTGTGCTTCGTATGCAGTTGTGTAACGGTGATCGGTCATGGGGCCTGGGGCCTGGGGCCTGGCCGTGAGAAAATGTTGGGGTCCTGTGTTAGTGTTGAGGTATGGATAATGTCCCAACTATAAAAAAAAAGGAGGTGGGGGCATTTTATCAATCAATCAAATCAACATTTCTTCACTCCCTTTTAACAGAATACAATTACAACATAATATTATATATATATAATATATATATATATATATGATATATATATATATATGATTTTATATATACAAAATATATATACCGGTACATAATATATAGATACATATACATCTGTCTCTTATACACATCTCCATCATAGATAAGGGTGT